CTGTCTATTGCAGCATCCACCCGATCCTTTTCTCTTTCCCTTTCTCTCTCAGCCTCCAGCATTACTTTCTCAACATATTTTCTGTCCCTTTCTTGTTCTTTCTCTCTATCCCTTTCCTCTTCTATCTTTCTAAGATGATCCTTTTCTGACTCTCTTTCTTTTCTCATCCTTTTAGCATCTTTCAGTATAGCAGGAGTTTCATTAATAGTCTTTGCTTTGCTTTCTGTGACTTGACCAACATTAAACCACTGAGCAGTCTTCTGGACATTTACGGTCTCCTGTACTGTAGCACGTTCAGCTGCTTCTGTGCTTCTGTAATCAGCCTTTGTCACTCTGTCACCCACCTTTTCTGACTGGGTTCCCGAACGCGCTGCATCTCCTGCAGTCATTTCAGGTGCCCTGATTTTTTCATTATCCAGTTGATTTTCCATCCCTGTCTCTTTCAATTCCTTTTCTCCAACTTTGCATTCGGTTCTCAACTTTCCAATATCTTGGTCAGCAACAGTTTCTTTATATACCTTCAGTTTTCCAATAATTTCTTCATGAATGGAGGCTGATTGAGTTGCTAGATCTTCATCACTCTCTATCTCATCAGTTGCTTTAACATTCGTCATGTTTCCTCCTTCATTTCTCCCCATGTCATCCAAAGCTTTTTTCAGTCCCGTATCTTTATCCCTTCCACCTACATCTTTGTCCATATTCTCATATTGCTCCATGTGACTATTCCCATTTGATACAGTTCCACTTCCTCCCATGGCAAGTGTTTCATTTGAAGTGCTCCCAATGACATTTTGAATCCCTTTGTTGACACCTGCTTCTTGATCTCTTTCATATGCCTCATTTTCTCTTTGCTCAAAAGCCTCTTTCAGTCTTATTTCATTTACTTCCAGTTCAAAGTCTTCTTTAAGTTGCTTTCCATCCTCATCCCACCCGAAAGCAGGTATTAGGCCCTCATCATTTTCTTCATTTTCATAAAGGCTTTTGAGGCTTTTCTCAACTTCTACTCTTTCGTGAGCTTCTTTTAGTTCCTCGTTGATCTGAATCTGTTTACCTAGTTTTAATCTTGTTTCATTTTCCCTTTTGCAGGCCTCTTTTTTCTCTATGTAATTTGGTTCAAAAGCTGCATTTGATCTTTCATCAATATTTTCCTGCTCCACAGAACCTTCCAGTTTTTCATCATGCTCGGTTTGTCCTAGACCAAAAGCTTCTCTTTGTGTTTTTCCATTTTCTTCGATTTTCTCAGATTGCTTGTGCCTTTTCACACTCTGCTGTTGCTTTTCAACCTCTTTTAGTATCTTCTCATTTTCCCTAAGCCCCATGACTAGATCAACTTCATTTGGTGTTTTTCTATCAACCTCTTTGGGTTTCTGGGTTTCCACGTGTTTATTATCTCCATGTCTTCTTTCACACGCATCTTCTATGATTCCAGATTGGTCAGCTTCAGTTTCTTTCTTTTCAGTTATTCCATGGTGGTGGGCTATTTTTATACTCTTCTCATTCTCTTCCACCTCAAATACTTTGACCATTTTTACTTTTTTCATCTGCTCTTTTTGCCTCCATTCCCCATTAGATGCTTCAGATTTCATAATGTTTTCATCATGTTCACAAGCCTCTTTTGCTGCTATATATTTTTCCTCATACTCCTCCCCCTGATAATTATCTTCAGCTGGTTTTACTTGTTTATGTTTTTCTTGCACATTAGACGCTTCTCTTTCTTGCTGCCCATGTTTATGGGTTCCAGTACCTTGCACCAAATTCTTACTCTGCTTTGTGGGTTGAATTACCATTCCAGATTCTTCCATTCCCACCAATTCAAAAAATTCAGATTCATCTTTCCATGTCCCAACTCCCATACTGCTATCGGACTCTTGAGATGACCTGGATTCCATCTTGTCCTTTTCCTCAAACATGTTTAAAACTCTTTTCCCTTCTAAATTGTCCAGAGTTTCTGCAGAAGCCTTATTAAGTTTCTGCCTGTCATCAATGACAGAGAATTTCGTTTTGGAATGTCTCCTATCATAACTTCCCTGCATTGTCTCATCATTTATACTACTTAATCTAGTGATATCCTTACACATCTTTGCTTCTTCAGTTTTTACATCATAACTTGATTTTAAATGGCTTTCACAATCCCCTTTCTGCCTCTCTTTTAATTCTTTGGCACTCCTAAATTTTGCTTCCGTTCTAAGCATTGCTTCTCTCATAGAATCAGCAGAAGCTGTAGCAGATGAATTCATATGATCATCCACATCAAAGAAAGGTGGTGAACCAGCACCCGGTGTCTCTTCAGAAGCAACCGGCCTGCTGTTTGAATGAAATCCACAGATGTCTCCCTTTTTTGCATCCAATAAAGGAGGTGGACGAGAAGGGGGTGGCACCTGAGAGGGCTTACTTCTGAGGCTAATGTCAGATACAGTTATGAACATCTCACTGGAATGAGAATCATTTCTGCTGCTTCCATTTTGAACATTTAGATCACTAGCAGAAGTCTGTTCCCCAGAGGTAAAATTATGCGGATGTGCCACTGTTTTCCTCTGGTGGTTTCCCTTCACTTTGTCTGGGCCAAGCTCTATATCAGAATCAATATCATCAGCAATCTGAAAGGATGAATCAGTCTGATGCAATTGTGTGGTTGCATCATTTACTCGACTGAAACCAGGAACACCATGCAGCTGAGTCATGCGAGTTTTCCCCTTTGGCTTATGCTCGTTGCTTATACCATTGACCTTATTATGATATAAATTGTTGAACCCCCTATCAGTGTCAACGGAATGGAAAAGATCTCCATTCAACATACTTTGATTATTTGCAGAACGGTCTGACTCTCCAGAGAATGAGTCAGTTTCTGCTGGAGTCCTGTAGATGATGAAAGATAGTGATTACATTGCAGAATTATGCTTACATCTAAATAAAAATATATTGAAAGATCATGCAAATCAAACTCCAAATAGTTCACCAGTTAATCTACAACACTCTACACTCCCAAATCCCAATCCTATTTTATGGAAAAACGAAAACGAGTAAAGATCATAATCCTAAAAAAACAAAGCATAATTTTCTGAGCGCAACAGTTCGATAAATTGAATCACAATTGACAACAATGCTCCTATCGGACCCATCCTAAACCAAACGTCACGATTTCCATCAATCAAAGTCACTAATTCACTCTAATTTTGTCAAAAAGCAAGCAACAGAGGCTCTACTCCTCTACACTACGCCTCACGGAAAAGAAAAGCGAACACGCGAAGGGATCACGAGCTAAACGCACGAAACAGGTTCAACAGTGGTAACATTGGCATTATTCTTACCAGACTTCTTCGGAGGAGACGCCGTCGAGAGCACTGTGGCGGTGGAACACGTCGTCGTACGGAAGCGCAAAATCGAAGGCGCCGAAAACCTCGGTGTAGTTGAAAGCGTGGGTTCGGGGATCGAAGAAGGCCTCGGCGTCGTGGACGGCGGGAAGATCGAGGAGGGGAATGGAAGAGGCGCGTGCGGTGTGGAAGCTTCCGAAAATCTCGGCGTAGTCTTCGAAACGAGGGGAGAGGTTGGAAACGCCGAAGCTCGGTGGACCTCCGTAAACGTCGTCGTATAGGCTCTTGGTACCGGAGAAGCTCCCATTGCTGTTGATCTTGCCGGAAAGCGTGACGCCGGACTTGTTAGGTTGGCGAGAATGCGCCATTTCCTTTCTTCTTCTTGGTTGTGCTTGTGGTTCTGTGTGAGTGAGTGCAGAGTGAGTGCAGTGTGCAGAGACTGTTTCGGGAACAGAGGGGGAGGAAGAAAAACAAAGTGCAAACTCCAAAATGAAAAACATAAAGATAAAGAGTGAAATGACGATAACGGGCTTTCACATTGGACTGTATTTTATTATTTGTTAAGAAAACAATAAATGTTTTTTACCACCGTAATTAAGGCTTTAACTATTCCAAAAATCGTTTCGGGGGTTAATTTTAATTGTTTGACTTAATAAAATCTCTGCGTTGACCTTTATAAAATTAATTTCTTGTAAATCAGAATTTAATTTACTCACTAAATAAGATATTTCTTATGTTTTCTATTTTTTATTATAATCAAATTTGGTAAAAGAGGTTTACCGCATGCTCAATTAAATAGGTTATATCTCATTAGTTCCCTTTTCTCCTTTAAATACATATTTCACACACTACTTTCAAAATACAACTAATATATAATGTAACTAATGTATGTATTTGAACTTCTAAATCATATATTTCTTAAGAATGAATATCATACCTAATGTTACTTTTTGTGCGTCTTTTATTATCAAGATAAAGAAATTTTGTATCTCGTCCACGTTTGACATCAATTTACATATACTTGACATTAATGAAGTCAAAAACATTTGTCTCTTGCATTTGGCGTGGAAAATCCAATCTCAACCTTACTCAAGCAAATTATTTTTACCTAACTTGTGATTGATGTCACTTAACATGTGTCTGATGTCATTTAGGTAGAGATCCATTAACTAGATCATGATCGACATCACACCTTTAGGATTATGCATAACCACCAAATGACTCAAAACATGAAATCAACCATTTAAAACAACATGTAACGTAACATACAACATATATACACCATAAACAACACCAAACCAACTCAAGATACAACATACAACCATCAACCAAATTGACCAATCTACTCAAGAAATTTCATTTTCAAGAGCACCTTTGAACTAAACATAAATTCACAATCTTCACCACTTCAGTCATCCAAGTGACGAATTTCAACGATAACAATAAACATTCAATACAACAAAAAATCACAAAGTCTTTATTATTACCTCTAGTTGATCCAACCAAAGAGAGGAGAATAACAAAATTTTGCTCAACCTCCAACATGAGATCCTTGGCCTTGAAGGCTTTAAATCTCCTCCTAGTCAAGTGATTCTTTTACAAGATGAGAATAATGAAAGATTTTCGGTAAAAAAAAAGGTGGAGAAAAAGGATTTTAGTTCAAAAAACTTATTTTTAACTTTACTTTAGTTTTACTTAAAACATTAATTTATGAGACTCATGTCTTACGAAAATCATTATGTACACTTCTTTAAATTATATCACTTAACTTTGACTCAATTACCTCAAAGATAATTTAACTCTCATAATTTCTTGACTAATAAATACTAATCATATCATCATATAATTAAATCAACACCTCAAATTAAATTAATAGTATTACAATTTGTATAAATAACTACATAATAGTATTTATGCAATTTACTATTATGTTTTTTTTTAACATTTTGCATAATAAAAACAACTTTTTAAATGAAATTTTTTTCCTTAATTTTATTATTTCTCTAAACTCATTAAACGTAAGAAATTACCATCTTTTGGTGTCAAATATTGTGTCAAATACCGCTATTCATTTATTAATTTTATTATACATTTTCATGAAATAAAACATAAAAATTTCCTGTTCATATTTTCGGTGGTAAATAATAATGAAAACTGGATTTTTTTTAACAGAGAGATGTGATAGTCGAGGAATAAAACGTGCAAATATTTTTACACTGTATCAAATTTATTCTTACAATTTTTTTTAAAAAAAATTAAGTATGTTTTTTATTTTTGAATTTTTGTCAATTACTTTTTGTCTTGTTGAACAAATTTTATTTAAATTTAATTTATAAAAAAATTTATAAACAATAAATTTCAACGTCAAATATAAAATATTAACGGTAGAATTTTTTTTTAATTTAAAAGTATAAATCGATAAAAAAATATTAATAAAATAAATTATTTAAAAAAAAAAAAGTTTGACAAAAAAAAATAATTTTTAAAAGAATTATCTAGACGTAGGTTGGAATCTTGAGAGACCTACGTTTGGTACAAACGAAATGAAGCGAGACCCATGCCCATTTATTTATATTAAAGAAAACATGCAAACAAAACAAAAGAGGTTCATTCCGGTACTGTACTATGTTAAATAATTGGACTTCGATTTGTTTGATTGGTCTTTGTACGACGTGTGACGGTACATGTCTCAATCAACCTTTTTTATTATTATTTTTTTTTTCCTTAAACAACAATGGCTTAAGTATCAATCAACTTCAATTCCCAAATATCATTGATCTATGATAAATTTGGATTCATCATGTTGAATATAAATTTGTACGAAAAACTTAACATTATTATGGTATAAAATAGGATAAAAATTGAAAGTATGTAATCATATTAGTTGAAAAATGTTTAATGGGGAGGAGCAAATTAAAATATTATAAGTTATATCAATAATTTTTTTTATATAGTTTTTATGAGATAATTTTATTTCAAAATTTAATATTAAATTGAAATCGTCATATAGATTATATTTATAAAAACTTGTGTTAGTTTAAAATATTTAATATTCGATTTATATATATTAAAATTAACATAATATATTTTCTCAAAGTATATAAAAATAATAATTCTTTGATTATATATTTATAATTTTCAGTTTTGATAAAAGTTAAACATAATATGTAGTTATAATTAAATGGTTAAATCAATAAAAACAAATTTTATATAAAGTTATTAATTATGTAATAAGTAATATAATTTATAGTGAAATAATTTGATCTGGTGTGTCATTCATCAAAGACTATCTTATTTAAGACAAAGTAGCACAAAAGCATCGAGCAATTCTTCTGCCAAACTCAAGAAGGTTCACTGGTTTATTTTATTTTATTTTCTCTTGGTGTGTTCATTATTTCTGGTTTTCCACTCATTTTCCTTGTTCCTTTTTTTTTCCTATATTTTTTTTATTGTTTATGACATTTTGCTATGTGCCCTATTTAAGGACCGTTGATTTCATTTGCCTTTCATGATCATCGTGATCATTACCTCTTGTTGGTAAAAAAAAATTGCTGAATAACTGAGCACGAACTTGAATTTTTTTTTGAAAAATTGCTTAAAAAAAGTTAGGTCCAATATGACTCAACTCAAATGAATTTGTTTCTACTATAAGTCTGCTGTCATCGTTAAGGTTACCGCATTCGAGATACTGTCTGTTTTGATATTTATTGGATTTTATAGTTTTATCTTTTAAAAAATACCTTGATAGATTAATGAGAGAGGATATTTATAAACTATCCTTAACCTCGACTCCTAAGCGATATAGAATTTTTAGACATACAAGAATACAACTCAACCGTGCAAAATCGAAATCCAACTTACCCGAATCCGAGTGACCCGAAATCCACTTATGATCGAAAATGGATTAATATTTTTGGTGGTCAAGTTCAACTGGTTTGAACGATTTAAATCTGAAATCGACCTATAATCATACCTACTATTGCATACTTAAATCAATATTTGAACTCTAAACAAGAATTAAAAACATAAGCTACTATCAATGTTATTCGATTAACATCAATACATTTATAAGCAAGCTAAAACTAAAATTCCTTCTCTCTTAAATTATTATTTATTTATTTATTTACTAAGATGTCATCTCCCTTTTACCTATTTATTTGCAAAATAGGCGCTACCAACTACCAAGCATACGATCAGAGTGAAAAAAGAAAAAAGAAAAAAGAAAAAAGTGAGATTCAGAGTGTTTAATTGGTTTTCATTGGTGAACCAATTCACTCGAATGAGAATTTTTTTTCCTCCATGGGTGATTACGTAATTTTGAGCCACAGTGACTAACTTTGCTGCTAGTTCTATTGAGAAGATTTGAAATCAATGAAACAAATATAGACCCTTGTACAAGCCAAAAAGAAAAAAAAAGAAAAAAAAGTGGAAATGGGACCCTTGTGTTGGCCACTTTATATTCACTTATTGAGTCACGTCCATAAAAGCTCATGGCCATCCTCGTGTTCCTTGCCCTTACTCTTCAATTCACAATTTCTTTGTTTCATGATGCATTATTATGTATGCTACACACAACGTGCATTGTTTTCTGTTAAATCACATGTTTTATTTCCTAGATCCGTAAACTAAAATACCACTGCCATACTTAATTGATGCCAGATCCGTGCTTTATATTCCTCAAAGCATATTATTTTTAATTTTGGGGTATTTTAATTTATTTTAAAATATATCTGATTTCTAGTCGAGATATATCTTAGTTCTCCTAAAAGTATACTTAGGGGGGTGTATTGGTTTAGGATTTCGTAGGATTTTAAAAGACTTTTTTTTAGTAAAAAAATCTATTGGTATTCAATCAGGATTTTATGTCACTTAGAAACAATCTAGTGGTATTCAATATGGAATTTCAAAATTTTTTAAAGAGTCCATTAAAATCCATTGGTATTCATTTGAGATTTTTTACAACTTAAAAATAATTCATTGGTATTCAAAAATATAAGGATTTTAAAGGATTGTTGTGTGAGAGAGATTTTGAAGGACTTTCTAGTGTTATCTATAAATACCAAATTCATAAAACAATCTCATCCAAACCCATCGGATTTTGAAGGAATGTTTGAAGTGACTTTTCAAGAATTTTCAAGTGAGTTTTTCATCTTTTTTTTTCTATGTTCGTGTCTTCTCCATTTTTTCTCTACTAATAATACTGCACTATTGTTCATTGCTCATATATAATATTGTAATATTGTTCTCATCTCATTTCCCTATTTTGTGAAACTCCGATATGTAAATGATAGTGTCATTGATTGACTCTAGTTTTTTTGTTCGTTCTCTTTAATTGACTTGCTTTATTTTATTCTATGTAGTTGAATTTGTTCCTTTATATAACACAAAAAAATGCTTGAAATTTCAGCTTTTAATTGATAATTTTTTTATACGTCAAGAAAAGAAAAAGGTGAAAGATGAAATTGATATAATAATCTCTACAATATATATATATATATAAGATGAATTTGATAGGATTTCTATGAGTAGAATAAGATAAAAATGGATCTTAGTTGGGGGAAGAACCCTCTCAGCATAAAAACTGCGATTTTTCTCCTTCCCTTAAGTTTGTTACACTTATCCCCCTCCTTTTACGACTCAACAATTATTTTATTTTTTTTACTATGAATTTTTCTTTTTATTTTTATATTGTGAAATTAGGATTTTTTTATATCTTAAAAAAAGAAAATTAACATAAGACATTGCAGTATCTAATTTTTTAAGATTTAGGATTTATGTCCTCATTAGCTTATTTTTTAAAAGAGTAAATATTGTTAAAATATTTGTTAGAATAATTTATTATTATACTAATATTATGTATATTGCATATGTAATTAGGTAATTATTTTTTTGGTGGATTGTGGATTTCCTAATTAACGCCAATTTTTAGCTCCATTTTGAGGTGTAAGATATCATCTACAAGATTTTGCAGGTCAAGGTAATGACCCTGAAAATGAGAAAGAATTGTTCAATCTTCGTCATGCGTCTTTAAGGAATGTGATCGAGAAAATATTTGGTATTTTTAAATCAATGTTCACAATTTTTAAGTCAACACCTCCATTTTTATTTAAGACACAAGTAGAACTTGTGTTAGTATGTGCAGCACTACATAACTTTCTACGTAAAGAATGTCGTTCTGATGAATTTTCAATTGAAGCGGTGGATGAACCTTCATTTCAACGTTACCAGTTAATGAAGATCATAACTTTGAACCTATTATTCAAACCCAGGAACAAGAGCGAAAAGACGTTAGTGCTTGGAGGACTAGTATAGCTATGGATATGTGGGTGAATGCTATTTAAGAAGATAAGATATTATGGAGAATTATTATTAATATTATTTATCTAGACATTATTAATTTTTATTATTTTTGTCTTTGACTCTTTTTAAATTTGAATGTATGAATTTTTTTTTTGAAATCTTATCAAATGTCAAAAATCCACGAAAATTCTACAAAATCCCACAAAATCCATTAAAATCCTGATTTAAAAGTTTTCCAAAATCCATTAAAATCTTGATTTTAAGTCTTGTAAAATCCTGCAAAATCTTAAAAATCATGAAAGTCCTGCAAAGTCTTTTAAAATCCGCAGGATTTTTTTTAACTACAAAAGTCCTTTAAAATCCTAATCCAATACACCCCCTTAGTTTCAATAAGTTCGTCTCATAAAAAATACATGTGACTATAGTAAATATAATATTTTTTAATAGCTAAAAGGGGAAATATTTTATTGATAAATTATTTATTAAATCTGAAATACAAATATATAGTAAATATTTTATTTTCCAATAAAATTATTCTAATTTTGGTGTTTTAAGCTAACCAAAAAAATATTATTTATATTTTGATGAGTAATATTTTCTAATTATTTCTAATAATTAGAATTAGATGATTTTTGATATTATTTTGCGCAATATTATGGCATATACTTGAGCATACTAAATATTATCATCAAGGCATTGAATTCATTATAGAAAGAACTACTACAATTAAATATCAACATTATCAAAATCTCCGTTGTCGTCCAGCGGTTAGGATATCTGGCTTTCACCCAGGAGACCCGGGTTCGATTCCCGGCAACGGAACATTTTTTCCTAATTAAGCCTATGTTAAAAATTATTTTGTTAAGATGCAGTCTTCTATTATGTAATGACATGAAAGGCCAAAATAGTTTATGATGCAATTCTTCTATTATGTAATGACATAAACGGCTTTTTGATAGACAGGCCCAAATAGTTTATGATGCATTATGCTGCAATCTTGATTATGCAACGACGGGAAAGGCTTAAAATATTACAATGTTATTTAGTTTTTATTTTAATTTTTAAATTAAGATGATTATATTTGTTGGGTTTAATTAGGTTATAAAGTTATACTTTTTCCTAGCCTGTGAATCTATCAACGAAATATTTCAGTGCTTGTTATCTTCTAGTTTCTCTAACGATAGTCTTGGATTATTTTCCAGTAGTTTAGTATTTTCTCTTACTTTTAATAAATGTTACAAGTAAACCATGCATTATAATTTTTATTTGTAATCAAATCATGTATAAAAAATTATCAGTTTTTTTTTAACATTAATTAATAATCAATACTAGTTTTAAATTGTTGAAGGTTGAAAATTTTTGTTAATAATATATTTATTACACAAAATATCAAAGTATAATGAACATTTTCCCATTAAAAAATATCTACTTTTGATGGCTTAAAATCATCCTTAATTAACAGCTAATATTATCAAAACCATGAAAATATTTTATTGAGATTGAAACTCTTACTATAAAATAAGATCAACACTATTCAAAAGAGGTCATCAGGCTTGGGAAGTATAGACTATTTTATGTTGTGAGGAAATAGTCACAGGGCAACGTCACAATTCATTTCAAGATCATGCACTCTACGTAACAGTGGGATAAACAACGGTGATTAACACACAAGACAGCAGAGGTATTTATGACATGTGACGAAGAGAAAAAAAAAATCTTAATTCATGAAAATGCAGGTTCAACCGGCGCATATGAATTGATATTCTTATTTTGAAATACATGCCCAACTACAGTGCCGAAAACTGTAGATATGTCTCTGGAAGCCTGAACTATTACCAAACTGTTCCATTGTAGTCATTATGAAGAAACAAAAATTAGGGCTTCTTATTTAGCACAGGGATGAGCAAAGCCACATCCACATGCCGAGAAGTTCAACATGTGTTGATATTTGAGACAACAGTTTGAGCTCTCCAAACTTACAGGAAACAAAGGCAGTCATTCTCCAGAAAATCGCACATAAACAAATACTAGAAAAGAAAAATAAAACTAAGCCTTGGGAGCTTTGTCTAGCAAAACATTATCTGGAAGGTTAAGCTCTGCAGGTGTTTCTTTAACACTACCTAGCACTGCATATTCCTCACCATGACGAGCAGATTTCTTCTTAAGAACTTTCACGAATTCAGTCTCATCAAGTTTTTTTGCATTTTCCGCAGCATGAGCTTGAGCCAAATTGGAATAATTTAAGGCAGATTGTGAGAAGAAGGTCATTTCATCTTCTGTGAGCTTCCTCAAGAATCTTGCTGGATTACCTCCCCAAACCTGCAATTAAAAGTAATAATTCAGTTTAAGTCAAAGATACAATGATGATACCATGCCTGATGTAAATAAATAAGATGAACCCCTCTTAAACCATTCATTTTAATTTAGGCCTGATTGCTATAACAACTTCCATCGATAACTCTAATAAATCATAACATGTGAAACTTAATTTAATTTTCAACTTTCAAGAGGAGAGAGAGAGAGAGAGTAGGACAAAGCACATTCCCATTCTCTTCCAAGGAAAACAAAAGGTTCATACAAACCTCTCCATAGGGGACCCTTGTATTCTGCCTGACAAGAGCTCCAGCAGCAACCATGGCATGTTTCTCAACATATACACCATCAAGCAAGGTTGCACCCATGCCAATAAATGCCTCATCCTCAACAGTACATCCTTGTAACACAGCACTATGACCTAAAATTGCAGTATAAAACCTTAGAGTTCATACTATAACAATGTGTCAGCCACTGACAAGATGATCATTCATCACTTTCACTCACCTACAGTGACATTATCTCCAATGATAGTTGGTAATACTTTTCCACTCAAGTTAGACTTGGCAACATGAACAAGAGAATTGTCTTGTATATTAGTTCCAGATCCAATAACAATGCTGTTAGCATCACCTTCATACAAATAGTATTGTTTAGTTAAAGGTAGAAAACAGCAAGAGAAGCACAAATATCAGAAGAAGGAGGGTGAGAAATATGAAATATCAGTAATATTGTGTGTGCAATATCCATATAAAATAATTATAAGTGCATCCATAGCAATACGAGAGGTAAAACAGTGGTCCTTATCGTTCCATTTCAATGCAAGTTGAAGCAATGGCAATTGGCAAGTAAAGGAAGTAACAAGGTGTGGTCCTATTTGAATAAACTTCATAAGCATTTATAACTGAAGAAATTAAGAAGCTACAATAAATTAAGTGTGTTTTTGGTTTCTCATAGGAAACTCACAAAATCACGTTCAACAGAAAAGATAAAAAATGATACTTCTTGACTTGGTGCTTTGGAATGTGTGTTTTTTTGGTTCAACGAAACTTGATGATCAAACAAACATGCCCTAAGTTTCTCTCATAATTTAAAATTAGCTTTATTCATAAGCTAATTTATAGAATACCTCTCATTTAACTTCTCTAAAGTTGTAAACATAAATTAATTTTAACTTATGTGAGAAACTTATTTCATTGTACCCTCAAATTTCCTTCTGTTGTAAGGGCTTGTTTGAATAAAATTTTTCATAACTACGTTAAAGAGAGGAAAAGAAGAAAGAAAAATAAATTAAGTTTTTCTATAAGCTAAAACTAGTTTATGTATAAATAAAAAATAAGTTTTTGGAGAAGGTAATATGAGAGAACTTGTACAAATTAGTTTGTGTATAAACTAATTTTAGCTTAGCTCATGGAGAAGTTCATTTAATTTTCTCTTCCTAATTATTCTCCTAGAAAAGCTTATGAAGAAATTTACCCAAATAAAATCTTCTCCTAGAAGTGCCTATGAAGTATATATTAAGAAGTTTATCACAACATAATCTTATTCTGTTTTTTTATTACATACAAATACAGATAGTGTCTACGATACTTTGTCTCTGTTTTTATTTTTTTGGTATTAACAAGTTTAAGTGAGTTAGATCCTAGCAGCTCATCAGGGCTGGGGCATGTATTAAGGCTTTATGGACGTTTATAAAGATACTTTCAAATTGTTCACCAATAAGGTCCTCAAATTGGCGGCAGAATCGAACTGAACCAACTTTTGTTGGCTGTGAGAGTTTGTCTCGGAACATTATGATTTACTACTAAACGTATAATTGTTGGGAAACGCAATCATCTAATTTTCAAGCAATGGAAGGAGAGGCCAAAAATCACTAAAAATTGTTCCACATTTTTTCGCTATTGTACCAAACAAGTGTAAAGTAGACATTAATTTCTAAACCTTCACATTTCCAGCGAGGCTAATCTAATCTAATATAATCCCAGTCTCAGACGAACCAACGAAACCCTAGGTAGTTTGAAATACAGGTAGCGGTGGTGTCAGCGGAATTTACCTCTGAGAACACATCCATACCAAATGGATGAGGCTGAGCCAACGTGAACGTCGCCGAGGAGGGAGGCACTGGGGGCCACAAATGCATCCCTATGGACGGAGGGACCTTTGTCAAAGAGATTCATCAGAGGTCGATGCCTGGACACTGAAAGATTCGAATCAGAAGAACAATTAGCGGTTATGAACGAAACCCTAATATGACGGAAATGGAGAAGCGGAGGTAACTTACGCTGTTCTTGGAAGAGGTAGTTGCCTTGGAGGCGAGAACCGAGGCGATCCATGGCTTGGCCGGTCTCGCGGATCCAAAATCCGACGGCGTAGAATGCTCTGCCCAAGGTTCCCATTCTGCTAATGGTGGTGACAGTGCTACTGCTACCTTGCTCTTACACCGATCTTCTCTCTTCTCTTCTCTCTCGCTACCTAATCGTGTGTTCCCTCTTCAACCTCACTGCGAATTTTGGGAAAATGTTTTACAATTTCCTACATTCGTTTTATGCTTTGCGTTAAATTACATAAATAAAAGTGTGTGTAATTATTCAAGAAAACAGAAAAGTTCATTTTCGTAGATTTAAAAAATTATATTTACTTCCTTTAACCATTTTTTTACTGTAGATGCATTAGTTGAATTAACTTGTGTGCGGATAATATACATTAAATTAGCTTATTTTAAATATATTATTTGCATAAATTTGATTTTTAAAGTATTTAATGGCTTTTTATATTAAAAAAAAACGGATTCTTAGTTTCTTACCAATTAATTTCAATCAAGACTATTTTTTTAAAAAAAAATTATAGAACCTATTTCACAACTTAAAAAAAAACATAAGTTGTGGTGTATAACGATCTATTTAACAGATAGTTCAATTAAATCAATCCTTATGCTTAATATTAATATGTACTTTTAAATAGGTTTCTATATTTAATAAAAATTAAAGTTAAATTAATATGATAGTATATGTAGTTTTGTCAAATTTTTAACCAAATTTGTATAATTATAAACACTTTAAAAAAGACTCTTATAGTTTAAAATTCTTATAATTAAATCCTTGACTTATTAACATTGTTAATTGGTTGATATTTTTAATTCAACTTATTAAAAAAAAAAAAAAAAAAAGCTTGTCTATCCTTATTGATTGTCTGAAATAATTCTCAAAATAATTCGTTAAAAAAAACGATTCCCCGACATGTTATTTCAAGTTACTATTATATGTAATAATATAATGTTTGTGCATAAATGTTTGGACAATTTTATCTTTAAAACTACTTTCAAATTATTATTATTTCATTATTTTTCTTTCACTATTTTTTATTTAAATTCTATTATTCTACTTGTAAATTTTCAACCAATCACCTATTTCAATATTATATTTTATTTATAAATAATTATTTTATTTTTTATTTTTAAATAATAAAGTCACATAGTGCCTCAAATAACCTTTGCGGGTAAAATAACTGTATTCCAAAGTAATCTCATTTGGTAAAATAATTATTTTTTTATTTTTAAATGATAGAGTCACATAATTGGAGTCTTGGATTCTTAAAATTAATTGCGGTAAATATCATTAATTTGGAAAGGAAGTAAAAGTTTATTACTTTTCCATCATGAAAAACTTGGAATTCTACGTATGAATTCCATTACACACTAAAAACGTAAGTATAGTTACATTTCAAAATAATTTTACTTTAAATAATATTTCCAAAATAAATGAATTAAATCATTAGAAGTTTGTTTTCTCAAAATCTAAACCAAACTGAGTTTTAAGTTAAAACTAGTAAGGGATCAAAATTTTCTGTCTCCAATTCCTATTCCTCTAATCACAAAATGTCATCTCAACTACATTATTACTTTTAATTTTAATTTTAAGGGAGTTGCTACGGTACCCTCAAAGATCGAGAGGTTTCAATACATTCTTTTATGTAAACTTATAAAAATTAAAAAAAATTAATTTAATTATAAAATGAATAATCCGAATTATATTTATAAAATGAAAAGTAAGATAAAATTATAGAGATTAAATTTATAAGATTTCAATAATGTTATAAGACATTAAAAAAGAAAAGAATTAATAAATAGTAAAAATAAAAAATTATTAAAATTACAATATAGAAATTAAAAAATTTGAGATAAAAGATAAAAATATACTAAAAAAATTATTAAAATTAAAATATAGAAATTTAAAAGTTTTAAGTGAAAAGACAAAAAATATACTTAAAAAATTATTAAAATTAAACTATTTAAATATATAATAATATTATTATAAATAAAATTAGAATATATAAAATAAAAATAAAATGACTAAATAATTTAAAATTTAAAAAAATAAAATATCATAAATATTATTTAAATAAATTATTAAAAATATAAAATAAAATTATAATTATAACTGTACCGGTATCCTCCCAAATAATATGGGTACCGGAGAATTTCTCTAATTTTAATTTTTTAAAAGTGGAACCCATCATCCGTTACAGAACCTATCAGTCCGTTACAATTTTTTTTTTATTCTCCTAACTTTTTCTTCACGTTTTTTTTTTTTTAACTTTTTTCATAACTGATTCGCTTATGTTTGTTTGTTTTTTTTTATATATGTTTTTGCTCCTATTCATAAAACCAACGTAGAAAAACCCTGCACCTTCCCCGCTTGCATTTTCACTTCGTGCCATTTGTGATTTTGGTAGCATTCGTGAATTCTCCTCTGTCGTGGCCACCTTTCTTGTTTCAGTTTATTCAACATTGATAGACTGAAAAATATACCGTATATAATAAAAATTTAAATTATCAAATTTATATATACTTAAGTTATAGTTATTTAATTTAATATATACTTAAGTTATAGTTATTTAATTTAACTCTAGTATTAAACAGATAAATTCAGGAAATTTAAAATTGTTTATCATAAAATATAAGAAATTTACAAAATTATAGAATTAAAAAGCATGTAATAGAGTAATGAAAAATTTTATTTTTTTTTTTTAACTTTTTCCATAACCGATTCGCTTATGTTTGTTTGTTTGTTTTTTCTTTATATATTTTGATTCTCCTAACTTTTTTACTTAACTGATTGTATTAAGTTTTTTTCTTATATTTTGATTCTCCTAACTTTTTTTCCTAATTTATTGTATCTACTAGGTAAAAACTATTATTTTGTTAAATAATTATATAATTTTTTTCAGATATATTTTATTTCTAAGAAAATGTCTATTTTTATTTTGTAATTTTAGGAATACAATTTACATAAATATTATAAATAGGAAAATTATTTTTAGATATAGTTTTTTTCAAAAATATTATATTTAAATATTTTTAAATTCAAAATAAATAAAATAAAATAAATAAAAATAAAAGGCCTAAAAGAATATGTAATAGATATTGTTCATCGCCATATTTCCAAGAAATAAAAAATAATTTTCCTATTTATAATAATTTTTTTCCCTAGCATTCTTTTTTATATTGATATTCTAATAACTTACACACTGATTATAAGATCTAATATTGTGGAGGTTAGTGATACCAAAACCAACAGGTTTTTAATTTATTGATCACACCAATGGTTCTTCTACCAAATACAAAGCTTCACCAAGACTACAAACACACAAGGATGCATCAGTGAATGCATTAGATTCTGAATTTCAACTATATGTGATTGTTGAAGACTAAAATACATTTTGACTTTTGATATGAAAAGATTGCGAACTATTCAATTGTAAACGTCAAATATGAGCTAGTAAAATTGTATTGATGTATTATAAATTCATTAATAATAAAAAGATCAAAGGTTATTTTATTGCTATAACTTTTATTTTGCATTAACAATAACATCAAATGAATTTCTTGTTTGATCATAATAAGATTATCTAATAAAGTGAGAAATTTTATTTTTACAATACAAGGCTAAGAAAAATATCTAAATTGCAATAGTGTATTTGCAAAGTTTGAAAAATACATAAATCCAAAATTTTAAAGTAAAATCATTGAAACATCTTGATGTTTATAAAAACTCTATATGACCAAATTGCTTCACATATCATTTTGTCCTTTGCTTTGAGAATTTGTAACATCATCTGTTCCATGTTCAATGCTAGATAGTTGTGCCTGTACATATACATATACCCCATTTTACAAACGTAATTTAAAAGAAATATTAAACTAACAAAAATAGAAGGCACTATAATTTATCACCTGTAACAACTCTGTCATGCTCATGTTACTACTTGACTCCATGAATGTATTGTTGGCAACATATGTGGGAAACTAAATAATACAATTTTAATAACAATTACAAATTATCATATAGATTATAAATTAGCATGAAAAACAAAAAGTAAAATAAATTAGAGAATACCTGACTAAATTGAGATGAAGGCAATTCATTATCTAAGTTATTCATGGAAGGTTCATCTTGTTGCATAGTTTTCTTTTTTTTTTCTTCTTTCAAGAATACCTTTTGGCCTAGTAGATGATCCTCGAAATCTTTCTTTGGTCTTTATTCCTTTCACATTATCCTTATTCCCACTACACCAACCTTTTTCAATATTTATAAGTGAACCATCACTAGTACTAGCTTCCTTGTCTCTACCTTCAAGACAAACATCTATATCATTCATGGCCTTGGTCAAATAACTAATAGCTATATTATATGTTTCTTCAGTTATCGCTCCTTTAGTTGCTAACTGAACTTGCATCCTACATATGTCTTTATAACGCATACCTATTTTTGCTTTAGGGTCCTCATGGATTATAGAATGGTTAGTTGGTATACCATTTCCCATTTTTGCATGTTTTGTCCATCTCTTTAATACATACATAGCAGGAATTTTCATAACATTTCTTGAAGAGAGAACTTTGAGAGCATGTGAGCATAAAATCCCTGCAAACTCATACCTTTTACAACTACACTTCACTGAACCAATAGAGGAGTCATAATGGACAATATGTTGAAATAACTTCTTATATGAGGTAACTTTATATTCAGTAACTTCCCCATTTTGAGAGGAAATATACATACTACAATCATAACCACTTGATACCTCGTGTTGGATCATCTTAAATATTGCAGGAGTATAAATTGTTGCCGCATGCCGTAGAATTTCCACATCAAATGACAGAATTAAACTTCTTTGGGTTGCTTTAAAATCTGCCTTTGATTCCTCATATCGACGATCCTCTACCATTCTCTGAAAATGATGAAAAAATCTTAGTAAATCATGTTGATAACTCACATATTTTTTAATTACATTATTCATACTCTCATTTCGTTGTGTGGTAGTCATGTCTGCACAAAAGTTCTCTCGACCATAAACTAATGCCCATTTCTCCTTTAAAGCAAAAGTCTGTTTCAACCAACTATTGTCTTTAAGATCATATTTCTCAAGCATATTGTTCCAAGCTATTATAAACTCTTCTTCCTCTTCATATTCATATATGCATTTATTAAAATCCTTACTGAAGTCTTGAAACTTCCCAAACACTATACTCAATTTCTTTAATGCATTTTGATACAAATGCCAAATACAGAGGCGGTGGCATGTTTCTGGCCATACCAAAGCTAATGCCTTTGCCATTGCTGCATCTTGGTCAGTAAGAATAGTCTTTGGTTTCTTTTCTGACATAGCTTTAGCAAAAGTATTTAACAACCAAATAAAACTTTCTGTCGTTTCATCATATAATAATGCTGGTCCAAAAGTAATGGTAAGTTTATGATGATTGACTCCAACAAACATTGCAAATGGACGACCTTCTTTATTTTTTCTATAAGTAGTATCAAAACAAACAACGTCACCAAAATATGAATAATCAATCATCATCTTCACATCAGCCCAAAAGATATTAGTAATTAAGTCATCCTCATCGACTTGTATTGCATAAAAGAAATTAGAATCTTCTAATTGCATTTTTTGCAAGTACTCTAGCACACCACCTGTATCTCCTGACTTCATTTGCATTGTTCTCTTGGAACGTAAATAATTTCTATAGTCTTCAGGAATGAATCCAAGATTTTCACGACCACCAGCTCGCCTGGCCATTAACTCACAACTTGCTTTTGGAGTAATTCCAGAATCATCAGCTAAATGAACCTCGTGAGGAATAATCATTTTCCTTTGAGATCTAAGCAAATGACTCTTACTAGGAGTTGTAGTCTCATGTGCATGCTCGGCAATAAATTCAGTTACACGATACTTTCTCGTTAAACGACTATTAACTTTCATCTTTGCCAAACAACCAAATCTTGATTGTGGTCGAGGATTTTTGACATTATCTTCTCACTTATCTTTCCCACGATATCCTTCGCATGAACAACAAAATACTCTATTGACTATCTTCCCATATTTATCTTTATGTCATTTGCTAATCCTCACACTAAAACCCACTCTATAAGCATAATCATTGTAAAAATTATATGTTGCATCTTCAGTCTCAAACTCCATTCCAACTTTTGGTATAAATTGACTAGGAATTGTATCATGTATCATATCAATTTTTTTTCCTTTAATTTCATCCACATTATCAATGCCTATTTCTTGATGTTCTTCTTCAACCATAACACAATGCTCTAAACAAGTGACAAAGAATCAGATACGTGTGAAATAAAGAACGAACTTGTGTAACAATCTAACAAAATTAGAGTCAAACAAAACGAAACAAACAAAATATTTAAAGAGATCAAATAAATCTTAAATCAAGAAGAAAACCACAAATTATGTAATGTGAAACGAGAAAAAGAATAGGAGTAGGAGAAACCAAAAGCTAATGAGAAACATGAGAATGACTTACGTGAGACCCTGTCAATAAAGTCTTTAACGTATTTTTAGATCTGTTCGTCAAAAGAGAGACAAAACAACAAGAGTGATGAGTGGAGGCACAAGTGCTGTCAAAGAGCTTGAAATTAAGAAATTAAGGTATAAATATATTTGGGAACTATTGAATTAACTATATATAATTTTTAATATTAAATAAAAATTAAAAAGAATTTATATGAAAAGAATTAGTGAAATCAATTTTTAACAGTTCTTATTATCATCTAAATTTAAATTTTTCATTACTCTATTACATGCTTTTTAATTCTATAATTTTGTAAATTTCTTATATTTTATGATAAACAATTTTAAATTTCCTGAATTTATCTGTTTAATACTAGAGTTAAATTAAATAACTATAACTTAAGTATATATTAAATTAAATAACTATAACTTAAGTATATATGAATTTGATAATTTAGATTTTTATTATGTATGGTATATTTTTCAGTCTATCAATGTTGAATAAACTGAAACAAGAAAGGTGGCCGCGATAGAGGAGGATTCACAAATGCTACCAAAATTGCAAACGGCACGAAGTGAAAATGCAAGCGGGGAAGGTGCATGGTTTTTCTACATTGATTTTATGAATAGGAGCAAAAATATAAAAAAAAAAAAAAAACAAACAAACATAAGCGAATCAGTTATAGAAAAAGTAAAAAAAAAAAACGTGAAGAAAAAGTTAGGAGAATACAAAAAAACTATAACGGACTGATAAATTCTGTAACGGATGCTGGGTTCCACTTTTAAAAATTAAAATTAAAATTAAAAGTAATAATGTGGTTGAGATGACATTTTGTGATTGAAGGGAAAGGAATTGGAAACAGGATTTTGATCCACTAGTAAGTATACGTTTGGACGCACGTATTCAATTTAAGCCTCTATCTTTTCATGTAAAATATTTGAAGAAAAAAACTGCAGAAACTATCATTTATTCATTTGTAGCTTCTACACATAAAACCAAACTTGCACTAATACCGGAGGAATTTGCTTAACTGAAAATTCATTCATGTATTACTAGAAATGAGCTCGTTATTAGGTGGCAGTACAACCGCATTCCAAAGCAAAAGTTTTAGACACCCTTGTCTAGTGTCAAGAGCCAAGCAGCACAAGTGCCACAACACAACGGCACGGAAATCAGAATGTTATGGGGTTTCATTCACGTTTACATAATTGATTAGAGATCACTGAAATTGGCTATTCAGTTTCGAAAGATGTCAGTGCCTTAAGCTCTCAACTATGTAAGCAGCATATAAGTCCCTGCAAAAGGAAACATCAATGTTAGAAAAATATAATAATCATTCAATATTTGTGCCCAGAATCCAAAAATAGAAACAAAATGAGTCACGGTAAAGGAAAATAGCTCACATGGAGTACTTGATGGCATCAATGGCAGCTTCAGCTGGTAGAAAGTCTTCAACAGCAACTTTTTTGTTCTCATTCTTCTTGTCTAGTGTGGCAAGCTAAGGATACATGCAGAAAACCAGGGGATGTGGCATTGATAGAATAAAGTTATTTATCAAAACCTATGGAATGATGGAAGACTTGGAGAAAAAAAAAACTTGGCGTTTGTTTGCCAATCCATTAGAAAGTCATTGCACAAGTTACGGGGTAGAAAATGTGAAAGTAAGAAGTTTTTACTTTTTATATTGCCCTAAATGTTCTTTAGGCTCTATTTTAACAGAAAACCAAATATGCACATAACTATTGACAAGCGAAAAACTAATAATCAATTTGTATAATTGTCAATAACTACGCACTGAAATGCACGTGTTTTATGTATAAGTGCAAATAACAGGATACAGTCCTCAAAGAATCTTCTGATTTCAGCTAGCCGATGTGGAGGAAGCTCCTTGATGTCCGTGTAGTGACGGAACTCAGGGTCATCAGCACAAACTGCTATGATCTTGTCATCCCTCTCACCCTGTACCAGAATTCATAATAAATATAATTTTTCTCCAAAATTCTACTTCAGTGGGTGAAAAAATTATTCAAATCCTATGATGTTGAAAGGAAAGTGAAATATAAAGTGAACAGAAGTTACAGTCAGATTCCTGTTATGGTGCTGACAACTTGACATACATTTAACAATGTTCCTAGCAACCTTCTACTTTATTTCGTTGCTCCCAAGAAATGAACCTCCATTTCAATCATTTTAGAATAGTGAATTTGAGTCTAACTCAATCCTGTAAGGTGAGGATTATTCTTCACTTATATACTATTTAATTGCCTAATTTTTAGTAGATTTAAGCTTAACTCAACCCTACAAAATCGGTTTGTAAGTTAAAGATTGTTCTCTACTTATATACTATTTAATTGTCTAATCTTTAGTCAATATAGGACTTGGATTTTTTCCAATAAATCATGACACTCTCCAAGCAAAAATAGAACTAGGATTCGATAGATTCTTATAACTTTTTAATTGCCTCAATCCAAATGAAAAGCGGAATGCAAAGGAGGAGGCAACTTTTACCTGGTCAATCATGGGCATTAGTCCAATAGCACGAGCACGAAGGAAGGAACCAGGAAGCACGGGTTCCTTTACAGAACAAAAGTTTCAAATATTAATACAATTGAAAATTTTGATGGAAACAGACATCACTGAATAGTATCAGTATCGACTATCGAGAACAAGAAATTTTAAGCATTGTTACCTGCATTAGAACCAGCACATCCATAGGATCACTGTCTTCACAGATGGTTCTAGGGATAAAACCATAATTGTGTGGGTAGACAACTGATGAGTAAAGAATACGATCAACCTATGTTGTTCAGCTCATTCGTTAGTTAGTTAGTTATGCTTCAGAACAGACAAGTAGCAATGATAAGTTTGGAAATGGTACATGAAAATACTAGTACTTCATTGAAAGAAAATCTTTCATATTTTGCAAATGCATAAAGCATGTGGAATGGGGGAAGGGGGAATGTAAGGAAATGGGAACCTCACCTTTATAAGTCCACTTGTCTTGTCCAGCTCATACTTAACCTTACTGCCTTTGCCAATTTCAACCACCTGCCAGGGGAATCAACAATTTATTTCACTACAAGTACAAAGATTAAATATTTGAAGGATTGCCAGAAGAAAGAAATAATATAAGCCCCAAAAACTCAGATGGCCATGATGTTGCAAGAAGCCTTCTGATAAGGTTTTCTCTAAATGTTTGTGAATAAGTTACAAAATAGTAAAAGCTTACACAGTTGAAAACAGATGGAGCTCCTGGCCCTGCATGTACAAAAACAAGTTTCCAGTCAAATATTGCTACATCCTTACAGTTTAATCGTCACAGACTTCAGCGGAAAGTTACTTTATTGAAACTAAAGACTAAAGAGGAACTCTTGAAGCACAATAAATTCCCCATGATTGAAGATAAAACAAACTAAATAGGTTTTTTCTTTAAAAAAAAAAAAAAACATAGTTTCATTATAATTAAAAGTAGTCAAAATTAAAAACCCAAAAAATTAATGTACCGATCTCCAAGTCGTGCCAGGGGTGAGCAGCAACAGTTCTCCGCGACAGAGAAGAAAGTATTCTTTCATTGAGCTTAGGGTGAGGTAAACCCGAATTCCAAGCATTTGAGTCTTCATGGTGAGCCATATTGACTTACCTACAAAAGAAGACACTATCAATCTAAATCATTACGATTCGTTGAAATTAAAACAACAGCCAGAAGAATCCACCTCAGTTCTTAAAAGGATTAATTCGAAAAGACCTATGAACCTGTCTGTACGAGGTATATAATGACATCAAAAAATGATTCAGTTAGAATTGGTGAATTAAAACATAGCATATTTGAAAAATGGTGATTACTTTTTTGGTTTCAGGTCCAGATACGTTGCATTAGATCGAGAAGCAAAAGAAAAGAAAAGAAAAACGAGCATAACAATCGAGAGAGAATAAAAAAAGTTGAGGGACTTACTTTCAGATGAGAGAGACTCAGAAGTTGTGAGTGAAACAAGTGAAGAATGAAACGGGTAATTTATCGCTCAGTTCAGCAGCAAGTCGTTGAGTGCATCTGTGCCGTCTGATTAAAGTGGCCTCGCATCAGACGGCTATGGATCGAGTGGGTAAACGGAATATTGGGATTTCGGACATCCCATTTCCCAAGTTACTCTGTGCTGACTGCTGGCTGCCAAATAAAATTATTTATTTTTTAACAGTTAAATATAATTAAAATACACGTTTAAATTAATATTTGTTCTAATATATGGTCTGTTATATGTCAAATTTCTCTCCTCATTTTAGATATGAGTTCAAACATGTACTATAACATAGATGGCAAATAATTTTATCCTTTGCTATTGGTTTTTCTACACATTATCATATTAGATTATATCGAATTCTTTTTGGACCGTAAATGAATAATTTGACTTTAAATATATATAATTACATTAAATGTTTAGTAAAAAATTTGTTACACATAGTAATATTATCCAATACAAACATAAATATTTCTAATAGAGGATACTTGCAACATAGACTTAAAAAGAAATTCTTTTAGAAAATTAATTTGGACCGAACTATTGGTTTTTACTTTAATTATTGAATTGAATTCATTTTTCTGCCTCAAAATTGATTTAAATAATCTACAAACATTCTTTTTAGATATTCCCTTTATTTTATTTTATATCAGTGAGATTGAAACACTTTATATTTTTATTAAGGATAAAATAAAAATAAAAATTAGATAACAAATGTATGTTAATTTAGTATTATGATTAACTTATTAATTTTAAGGTCATGATTTTGATTAAAAAAATATTATTTTTTAAAATTTTAAAATAAAAGGATATAATAATTAATAAAATGTAAAAATTAAGATAGTTATTAAAAAGAATATTTCTTTTATATATTAGTATAAATTAAATTACTAATTGATATTTAAAGTTTTATATATAAATTAATAAAAATAATTACATAATTACTTTGAGATAATAATATTTACAAAAAGTAAATTATTAAATATTCTATGATAATAGTTTTTAGTAGGGGAAGAAGTTCGAATAAAAGTTTAATATTTCATTAAAAATTTAGAACGCCAATCAATGTGGTTTTTTTTAAACATTAATAAAAATGAATCGGAGGGAGTATAAATTATAATACTGTACGAGAATGTTCAACAATAGCATTTTAAAGATTTTTTTTTTTAAATTTGTGTATCTTTTAATAATTTTTTATCATTTTAAATTAAAATTTAACATTTTTTAAAATAATTTATCAATAATTAAAATAATATTATATCACAATATAAATTACTTATTATAAATGTAAAATATAATTTTATCTTTAAAAATATTTATATATTATGAATATTAAATATAATATAATTTATATATTTAAAAATATTTTTTTGCTATAAATTTTAACTGTTTCTTAAATATAACAAAACTGCATATATATATATATAAATTTGAACTTCCATTATACATGTTTGAAGACATTTTTAATTAAATAAATGATCGGATAATAGTATATTATGCATAATATGGTGAGGAAATTCAACATCTTTATAATTTATGCAGAAGTCATAATATAGTATTGAATGAAAAATATATTGGCAGACAATGATCAAATAATAGATCCATTGAAAAAGGACTTCTTTTCTTTGGCTTTTTGTTGTGAATATATGTACGTGACGTGACTCACTCCCTGTCCAAGAAAAGAGAACATGTTTTTTTACGCAACGCTCCGTTTAATAATTATATATAACTTCTAATAATTCTACAACTTATCATGATAAATTTGTTATTTTTTCTTTTTTTATGAAGACACTTATTGCCTTTTTTTTTCTACAGATAATTAATTATAAACTTAAATATATTTTTTATTCTTATAAAATGAACAACTCTTGATGTAATTTTTTTTTATTATTCATCCACCTAAAATTTAAATCTATTATTTTTAGGTTCCATTATTATATAATCATTTTTTGTTCATTAAAAGGTTAAGTGATAACTTTTAAGTGTCATTGACAATTATTAACAATACAATATTAGTATATGACATATTTAATTATGACACATTTAATTATTTACATATCTTAAAATTATTTTTAAAAACTAAAAATAGTAATTTAAAAAAAAAAAATCTTATAAAGATCAAAACTAAAATTTACTCATTTTACAAATGTTCAAAATATTTTATAAAAAATAAAAATAATGTGTACAAATTTTAGAAAAAAAAAATTTTGAAAAAAAAAAATAATTGGAACTGTAATATTAGTTCTGAAATTAATGTTTAAAATATTAAAATTCAATTAATTCTAAAATTGTGACGGTAAAATTAATGTCCGCCGGAAAAGTTTGAATGGATTTTAGGTGACGCTTTTGCAACAACAAACGAAAGACTTGGCGACGGCGTTGATGCAGATAAGCTGTGGAGCACTAAAGTCTTAGTAAAATTATGATTTGGAGTGGCTGGCGATTCTGGCTAAGGGTGATGCATGAAATTGGTCACCTTCTCATATTCACACACGTGAAAGGTTTTTTCCTTTGATAAGCAACACATATGAAAGGTCCATTATTTGTATTGTATTAATTATTTTAAGACCGAACAACATCATAGATCTACAACATGCGTTGAAGTGGTACAAACATAATTCTGTTTTAAACTGCATGGCATACTCTTAGTATCAAGAAATGAATTTGGTGATACTCGAAATACAGGGTACTCGAAATTTTAGGTGATCGGAAAATGGTAAAGAAGTTTCTGAAAAAAATCAAGAGATACGCGAAGACATTTTTTGTGAAACTATCGAAATCCTTAAATCAGGAAAGATGTTGCTCATAAAAAGGCTCACAGCCTCGCAACCTCTCAAAGTACAAGAAAAATCAGGAAACATTCAAGTATATTTTTCGTTGGTCACTCAAAATCCCAAGGATCCGGACATACACGAGCATACTTCGCAACCTCTCAGAATGAAGAACTTAAAGGAGACACGATTTAAGAGCGGTACGGATTTTTTCCGTCTCTAATTTCCATTTTTCTAGTAGTGAGAGCGGTTGAAGTAAATCATGGGATAAATGACTTCAGAATGGTTTGGGGAAGTTATGAACGATTCCAGGAGTTATCAAAAGACGTGCCCGAAAATGAGCCACGATGTGGAAGTTTAGAGCGGTTATGCGTTTGCGGAGCATGTCAGATACAGTTATCTTTCCCAAATTTCTATAAATTGACGAGTCATGCTTGTAGCAAAAGAGTCAGAAATCACACACCCACAACACCTCACACGCACTCCTCGCCTGCGCATAAGGCTCACGTGCATACGAGAACAGTTGGGTACGGTTTCTTGACCACCTTTCTTTTTTCCTTTTTAGAGTAGCGTAGTCTAGTGTAGTCTTCTGAATCTGTTTCGTTATCCTTACGAATTGTAATTCTGTTATTATCTAATGAAGGATATGATTTCTGCAATCAATATACATGTCATTTGTTCGATTCACGTTAACACTTATATGCATGAAATTGATTGTATGATTAGCATAGGTATTCTGTTATGCTAAAACAACAAGCATAGATCTTCTGGTATGCTAAAACAACAAGCATATATCTTCTGTTATGCTAAAACAACACCCTAATCAATTAATTCTATTTGTTGTTTGTACGATTTTTTCACTAAAAGTTTTCGAATCTATCATGTCGCGAACACGCATAAATTAAAATCGTGTTAGTTCGAATAAAAAGAACCTACGAACGAAATCTTCCACAAACACATACAAAAATAGAATATACTAGAAAACACATTATTCCATACATACATGCCATCAAATGATCAGAATTTTTTGATTAAAAAAAGGATATGTACATGATGTTGAGTGTCAATCATGCTCTTTGCTCCTCCATTTTTTTTTACAATGACTTTAAATTACTATAAAAATAATTTATGATCCTTAAAATTTATAAAAAAAATTGAGTGTAAATGGCAGAGAATGTGTGTTGATCCCCTTTGAATACTCGTGGTTAAAGTTGAATATAGATGGTAGTTGGTTAACAAAAGAATTATGGGATTTGGAGGTGTTGTGATGGATGCAATGAGATGTTGGAAGAGTGGTTTTGCAAGCTCAACAAGTGGAAGATTTGGAGTTGTGTTGAGACTCAAATCAACGATATATAATTTGAGAATTAGATTATGTTGGGGTGGTGTTGGTGATTCAAGGATCGGATCATTAAGGTTTTCTTCACAAATATTGAGATATTATCAACAATATAGTAACTCATACTCTTACAAGTTGTTAGTTGGGGGCTAAAAATTCAGCTATTTACATTGCATAGAGGATTCCTCCGATGTTTAGCTATAGCTTGGTGAAAGAGGATATTTTTTCTTTAATGTAGTTCTTTTCGTTTGTCTTATTTATTTATTTTTTTCAACACACAAAAAAGGTACTATTATTTTATACTTAATATAATTATAATTTATAAACATATATCTAATACTATATATATATATATATAATATGTATGCAAAAGTTTAATCTTTGAGTTAATCACGTATACATTGTCAGTGTAAAGTTTTTTTACACTGACAATCAATTATATCTTTTAATTATGTCATGTCACTATAAACGCTTTTACTTTTAACGGTGACATGACACAATTAAAAGATATAATTGGTTGGTTACCAGTGTAAAAAAACTTTACACTAATAGTATGTAGTTGATTAACTCTTAATCTTTAAAACTAAATTATGTTTTATTTTCTTGGTCCCTCGAAGCAAATTTATGAGTAAGGCCCTCATTCACACCACAAATTAGAATAATAAACATGATTCACTTTATGAAATTAATTTGCGGGTGTTTGTATTTTAACTCATTTTAAAAAAATTGGAATTTGGACGCATTAAAAATGCATTTTGAAAATTATTTATTGGAAAGGAATATTTTTTAAAATATATATTAAAAATGTATAAGAAGGGTATGCTTAACCGGTGTTTAAAAATCCGAAGCGAACCGGCTAGTCGGACCGGTTGGATTGGGAACCGGTGGTCCAGCCGGTCCGAATCTTAAGTTAGATCGGTTATGTAGTCGATCCGTTTCAAACCGAATTGAACCAGTCAATTTTTCAGTTCAACTGGTGAACCGGTGGGTCAAACCGGTTCAACCACTTTCTTTTCTTATTTTTTTTTAAAAATTTTTTAAGGGACCATAAACCACAAAAATAATAATGAAAATTGAATCTCTTAATGAAAGAACAAAGATTTTTATTAAATATAACAATAACTACTTGTTCTAATGTATTTGTTTATATAATATACAACTTAAATAATTTTTATAGTATATTATTAATTTTAAATTATATATTTAATAATATAATATCTATGTAGATATTACATATATTATTTTTTGATATCTATTGCAAACATATTATATATGTACATATTATTTATATTTTTAATTTGTATTAATATACAGTTTAACATGTAATTTTTTATATATATTTTTACAAAATAAAAATAAAAATAATTTTAAATAAGATAAAAAAATTTAAAATTTAAAATAAGATGAATTTATTAAAATTTATAAATATAAAATATATTTAATATGAATATTTTTTTAATAAAAATAAATAAAAATCGAGTCATGCAGTTCAACTAATGACTCACCGGTTCAACCTTTGATCCACTGACTCAGTACCTTAACCGGTTCGACCGGTCCGATTTTTAAAACTATGTGCTTAACAATTTGTGGAGTGCATTTATAAATGGTCTAATTTTATAACTTAAAAATGATGTGTTATATTAAACAAATCCAAATTTAATTTTAGATAACAACAATTATTGATTCAAGTGAAATTATATTAGATTTTCTTAAACAAATTCTGAGGTTGTAGTCAGCCATATTCCTGTAACAGATATTAGTTATTTGTGAGATTAGTTATATTCGCACTAATAATAATATAACATGATTAATAAAATTAGATGATTTTCTGTTTTTTTAGAAACGAAGATGTTCTGCTTAAACATTTTACCAACTCAAATAGCTTAATCGATCAACGTTATGAATATCCCTGTATGAAGTGGTTGTTAAAAATGTGGACACAATTAGTTCACATTTCACAGTAGAAGAAAAGAAACAGAATTTGGTTTACTTTCCGTTCTCATCTCTACTAAAACATTTTTCTTTCAATAGGGTATACTGAATCACGTTCTTCTACTAAAACGTTCATCAGTTCTGCTCATAAGATATTTGACATTCTTAACTGTGTCTGAATGAGGGTTCATCCTGCAGTGACATCCATTTTAACCTACACATATTGCCGACTGCCAGAGCTTTTTCTGCACATGCTCATGAACTTGGCCACAAATTCTGCAGAAAAGAACACATCAGTCATTGACTCATTGTTATACCCCAGACAGCGAGTCTCAGCACATCAGGTTACGTAGGGAAGTCATGCATATATATTATGCCTTAATTCTTAAGAACATAGGGCTTCTAAGAGTTTCTCTGCTAGAAAATACTTATTATTTTCAGCAGAGAAACTCTTAAAAGTTTTTCTAAACTGTATCTAAACGGACTGTGTGATATGTTTGCTAGGTAATCTATATGGCTAGCTTAAATGTGATTAGAAGGGTTGTTATGCCTTACCTTCTAGCTTTAGTAGAGCTGTTATTCCTGGTGGGAGTCTTCTATCCTGTTCATTATAGCCTTTTGTAAATAATTTATCAGAAAAAAAAACATAAAATAGTGTAATGACACATTTGCAAAAGTTTATACAACAATATTTTTTTTTACCTATCTCTCCATTACATTATTTATTACATTTATGAATGATAGAGAAAAATAGACACAATAAATAATATTGTATAAATTATTGTACATATATCATTTCACCATAAAATATGGGGTGGAGGAGGTTGCCTAGAATTATAGTGAAAAGGGGGGAAGGAACACATATCTGGTATGTTGAAAATGAAGTTCTCTTTTATAATTTACCATCACCTCAGCACAAATTATGGAGGGAAAAACTCACATAATAAGCATGCCAGTAGTAAAGCTCCCTTTTTAAGCTGGACTCAATTCTCTTTAGGAGCTGTTCCACCAGTTTCTGCATGTTTGAACAGAATTCTTAACGCATTAGTATTTGGTAAGGTGAAAAAATTATTTATGGACTCCTATTCATTACCTGGAGAATCAATTTCGGGTGGACAAAATCCAAGAGAAGTATTTGAAATTTCCCTCGTATTGAGAGTAAGCTGATACAACCATAACAAAATTAAAAATAAAACATGAGCGATAATCAAGTTGAATGAAAATTTTCAAGTTACATGATGCTGTACTTATTGATTCTGCCTCCAAATAAGCCAGTCTTAAAAAAGCATACAAGTAAAACATAGTTTAATTCAGAACCCGTATAATAAGATGTCATAATCTGCTAATTTTCTCCTATAGAGCATAAGATAGAAGGAGAAATTTCTTGCCGTGAAAACGATGGATCTGCTAGGATCTCTGCGGCAACTTCTATTACAGTCTCCTCCCATCCAACCGGAATTGGTTGTTCTTCTGAAAATGGATAGCTGCCCATCATAGTGTCCCAGTTAGTCTTTGTAGACAATTATCTATAAATGTTAAAATAAATGTTTCCGGTCACAAGTTCTTACTTGTGTGCTTTGCATGCTTCAAGAGCCATGATTGCTTTTCTGAGGTTCTGCTTAGATTTTGCAGCAATTTTTACAGCAAAATTCATGGATAGATCAATTTCCTCATTCTTTGCTACCTGAATAAGAACCTCAATAATCTGCATAGTTGATAGGTCATGTGTGTTAATAACAGACAGTAAGTTAATCAGTAATTACTTCTTATAAGTTATAAGATGGTTTGATATTAATGGAAAGAAAATTTGAGCTTTTCCAAAATTGGCATTTAAGACAACAAAATATTTACATAAAGATTTGGAAAGAAAATTCCATGGTAAGATATATTGCAGATTGATGTTTACTTTTACATTTTCTAAAAAAGTTTTATTCTTACTTCGTGAGTTTGAGGAGCATCAACTTGAATGACTTTGAACCGGTTTTTCACTGGTTCAATAATGCTTGCATCATCTTCACAGCAGAGTACAAGTTTGCATATATCAGAATAGCGGTCTATGATCCATTTGATAATGTGCAGGATGTTATCTACTGCTTTGTGGACGTCATAAAGAACTATTACTGAAATGAAGAGAACCCAGCCACATTAGCTAGGCTCACATTAAAGGATCAATCTCTTAGGAAGTTAAATAAACAAGCATTTAAGCTACTAACCTTTATAATCTAACTTGAAATTAATGTTGCTGACTTCAGGGGCAATCGCATATATATTGTTAATTTCTTTGATTAATCCCATTAAAGCATATTTAGCATTTGGTTCTGAATTTACATTGAGCTCCATGTGATGAGAACTCGATGTTATTGGAAAAGATACTTTCTTAAGCCTTTGGTCCTGTGTAGTACATAGTACATACTATGAGCCCCAGCAATAGATAGGAGATGCGACTCTTTGACAAAATAACTAAAATGGCCTTTTACTCATCATATATTAAAACTATAGGTAAGAAAGTGATAAATCTACCTGAATAGGGAAATGTCTTAAATCATGAGACAGCTGCAAAAGGGTCTGATAAAGTCAGTTTAGAAATAGAATACATTAGAAGCAAAGTTAAAGGGAAGAAACATACATTACAAATTGCATCACCATATATTTCACGAAGAAGAGCCATTGCTAGTTCTCTTTTCCCGGAACCAGAGGGTCCTTTGAGCAAAATATGAGGACAAGGACCGTGAGACACCTGAAAAAGCAAGGGTTCTTACACAAATACTAGTAACAATATGAAAAGAAGACAAAATATAGTTGCAATTTCTTAGGTGATTTTAGTGTTGGTGTCCTAGAGTTTTACCTGACTAATTTACGTATTAAAAAGCTGCATTGCATTAAATATCAGCATGAGTTACCAAAGTAAAACTTAATCAAAGAATTCCACCAAAGTACCTAAGATACTGCATATAAGTTTTTGTCAAAAAAGAAAAACTCTAGGACACCAACACTAAAACTCTTAAAAGAAAACTCTTAAAGCATGTTTGAAAGTTAGAAGCGTTTTCTCAAAAAAGTTTCTAAACTTATATTCAAATATGATCCAAGTCTTCTACTACTATTACTTATACTATACAGCTAAAACTTCAATTATAATCGGAGCACAACACCATCAACCACTATTTATACAGCTTGTAAGTTATATCCAACCATATATATTAATATATATAGGCGAGTATTTGGAAACATACCAATTCCTTGAGAAGTTGAGCTTCTTGTTTGTTGCAAATGAAGCCATCAAGTGACGCCGGTTGGTGTTTATCTGCCCAAAATTGTGGGAGTTTTTGCACTACCACTGCCCTCTCAATGAAAGAAGATTCATCAATCGGTCTACGTTTAGGAGATTTTCTCGTGGTTCTACAGTTACCTGTTCTCATACAAGCAAACCACGTATCTTTCTGGTTATTTTTTCTGTTGGATATGAACTTCCTCATGCTTGCAGTTGTCTTCCCACTACCTTCGCTTGTCACACTACTTGGCTTCCCAGTGTCACTGCCCTTTCTGTTCGTAACAGCAGAACTTAAACCTGTGGTTGGTCGAGACAAGACATTCATATTCATATTAAGCTTAAGGTTACCATTTCCTTTGCTTTCAGATGGAGTTCTCACAGTGTTAACCGTTGGCCTTGGACTGAAATACTCATTTTGTTGGATGAGTTTTGGCAGCGAAGAATTCTTCCCATGGAAGGCATTGCATTCATGAGAAAAGAAAAGGTCACCCGGGTTAATGGAATCAGTGCTCTCAAGCACCGATGAATAATCACTAGTGGGATCTTTAGCCAGCTTCACCTCTGCTATCCTTTCGTTGATTTCTCCAACCGAAGGCGCTTTGAAAATAGAAGCTTCCCTTTGTCTCATGACCATGTCTTTGTTTCTCCCTCCGAGGTTATTCTCTTGCACCCTCAACCTCGGAGCAGTCACTGATCTCTTGTAAAGTGGCTTCTCAGTTCTTTGCTCCTGAATTCTGCTGAAGGGAGACACGGTTCTTCCAAGGTCAGGTCTCGGCAAGGGACTAATGCTTCTGCGTGTGTTCAAACCTGTTGATGATGATGAAGCAGCAGCAGCATCATCTCCTGGTATGCGCAGCTTATAGGGTGATTTGCTGTGATGTCTTCTTCGTGGTACTGAAGCTGTTGAAGCTGATGAAACTTCGTGTTCAAACCTTGAAGGATGCCTCCTGTGTAATGCCATGGGACTTTTCAGTGCTTTTGTTTCTTCTAGTCCTAAAGTGAAGTTCCTTCTTTCTCGTTCGTGCCGTGGAATCTCTTGCCATTCTGTTTCCGTGTCTGATGGCTCATAACCACTACGTCCCTTCTTGGTTGAGTTTGAGGTCTGAGGGAATCGGTTACTATAAAGTGGTGAATGATCCATCTATGCATAAGGTTGGTTTTATTAACCTTGTTGCACTCAAACAGCAAGTAATGAAACTTGTGTTTGAGCTCTCAGTTTAGAATAACTGAAAGAATGGGGTGGAATCTCGTAACTGGTGATGATATAATAAGAAAGAAATAAAGGAGTTTATTATTTTGTGAAATGCAACAAAAAGGGGTATCTTCCGACAAAAGAAGAATTGGGTTTAGAAGCGCGATGGTTTCGAAATGAGACGCATTGGTGACGATAATGACAACATGCTTGTGCGTGGGTAGATGAAAAAAATGTGTCTTGTAGCTCGTTGAAGTTTCTGCTGGAGTATATGTCGTGTTTTTTTTAGCCCTCTGGATTTGGAATGTTGTTGATTACAAAGGAATTTCTAGTTGTCAGGTGCCAGCATTTGGTGACGAAATTATCCAACTTGGTTATCAACGTTGTTCTATCCTGATCAAGCCTTCTAGAAATGAGCTTAGTTAACTTCACTGCCAGCATATATTAGATTAAATATGCTTTCATTTAACTTTATATTTTTGTTTATGTTATAATCAATTATGCCTTCGACTTTGTTTCCTACCACCATGCAGTGGGAGGCTATCACATTTTCCCATTATTCATGGAGACGGAGAATAATATATTATTGGAAAGTGATGTGCAGCATGGTTTGACAATACAATTTTCTTTTCGAGTTTTTACCAGTAATTACAATGATGCTGTGAAACTATTCTGTCGTTTTATGTTTCAATAAATATTTAAAATAACGGTAAAATTAACAAAATGGTGTTTTCGTCCTTGTTTGATGCATGAATGTCTCTTTTCACACAGTATATCTCATCTTCCATGGAATATTTTACTGGCATGGTACCGGAAACTCCTAAGTTTGTATGAGAAATAAAGTACGTAAATTAAGCTTCCAGGACGCAGAACAGCATCGTCAAGTTATTTACTTTAATCTATAACATATCGGTTAGGTTATTTCGTTCAATACTGTCAGTTTAAGCAAAGAAAGTGTTAATTTGAACATGTTTTTTCATAAAGCACAGCAAAATATCGTTATATAGACTGTCTATCCGCCCTGGGGTCTGCAGTTAATTAATTTTTTTCAAGTGAACAACAAATCTTCACTCAAAGAGGAAATGGGAGCCAATTAAAAAGATTAATGAGTTTTTGAGAAGAGCAAAATGTTACATTATTATAAAGACTTGATCATGTTTCTTCAATAGTGGAACTGGAATATGCTCTCTTCTTAGATACAGGTCATATTGGCTGAACCATGTGTTGTGTTCTTCTCTTAATTTATTTTTGTGCTGTTGCATTCTGCATTTTACATTTCTTGTTGGATATTCTCGTTTTTTTTTGTATTTTTTTTATTTATTCTTACATTTCATTTTTGTTTAGGGCCAACACAACATGTACCCTAGCAAACAGCATCATGGACTACATGCTATCAAGTACGTAAGTAAGGTGATTAGGACTTGGGAGGGGTTGCTTTGAGGAAAACAGAAGGCAAGTGGCTAACAGGAAGAACGAAGTCTCAGCCAATTACAGACAACAGGGCAGAGGTTGTTTTATTATTAACTTGAGTGGAGATGCTGATGGTTTCTAAATTGTTGATAACCGAGCATTCCATAGCTTTCAGATACTGATCCAAATAGTAGTTGATTGTGGAGTATTTCAAGCCCAAAGAAGAGTCAATCTATAAATTAGAGATACTTAATTTCACTAAAATGATGTAACAAAGTTGAAGTGGAAGGATGAAAATTTTTACCATCATTAGGAAAGTTGAGATAACAATGATTCAAGTTACATATAAGCTGAATCTGTGACAGTAATTAAGTCTCAAAACATTGGCAGGGGTTCCAGTAACGGAAATTTGTTCAAGTTTCTTTGGTCATCTGCTGCTTTGATGGTATAAATCCTGATGCCTTCCTCAATGATATAAACCTTTTTTTTTTCTCTTCATCTTTTTCATCTTTTCTTTCGTCTTTCAAACTTCTTTATCTTCTCTTTCTATTAATTGGAGTTACTGAATAGCGAGAAAATATATTTGTGAGCGAAGTATTTTGATAGAAACTTATATCGGAGTGAACCAATTTTGATAGAAACTTGTAGTGGAATAAAGATTAAGTAGGTTTCTTAAAACTATCCGACATATCTAGATCCACTTCTAAAAAAATGTGGGTCACTTATTTAAAGAGCACCGTAGATGTTCTAAAGAATGTGATTTAAAAAATATTGTATATTTTAAACGCTTTATAATTCTTATGTTATGATTCTCATTTCTATTTAAAATGAATTAATTAATGTTTGTTGATTGATATATATTCTTTCTGTCAATATTATGATTAAAAAAAAAGTTAAAGAGGGTGTATTGGATTAAGATTTTAAATGATTTTTTTAGTTGAAAAATTTTTGTGGATTTTAAAAGACTTTGCACGATTTTTACGACTTTTAAGACTTTGTAAGATTCTGCAAGATTTTAAATTAGGATTTTAATGGATTCTACAAGACTTTAAGTTATGATTTTAATGAATTTTGTAAATTTTTGACATATGATAAAAGTTCAAGATTAAAACATTTAAATTTAAAAAGAGTCAAAGATAAAAATAAAAAAAATAATGCCTGGATAAATAATAATAATAATTATTCGTAGTATCATGTCCTTCTAAATAGCATTCACCTACATATCCTTAACTATATTAGTCCTTCAAGCATTAACATTTTTTCACTTTTGCTCTTAGATTTTAATAATAGGCTCAAAATTATGATTTTCATTAACCAGTAATGTTGAAGATGAAGGTTCATCCACCACTTCAATTAAAAATTCATCATAATAACATTTTTTACGAAGAAAGTTATATAGTGTTGCACATGTTAAAAATTATTCTAAACAAAATTTCAAAATTTTTATAATTTCTGATTTAAAATATTTTATTTATAGATTTATAAATGATTAAAAAAATAATGGGATAGCTACCCTACTCTCTTATAACTAAATATGTCCCTATATTTTATATTGATATTTGAGTGAAACTTTGTCTTTCATACATTTTATTCATTTGAAATATCTTAGAAATTTACAAACATTAACTAGGAGAAAAAAAATATATCTGAAATTTGTTACAGGTACAAAATAATTTTAAATTATTTTTAACTGCTTTCAATTATTCACTCATGAAAAAATATTTTTAATATTAAATTCTCAGATACAGTAATGTCCTTTATTATTTTTGTTAAAATATAAAAAATTCTAATTTCACAATACAAAAATTAAAAAATTAAAATTTTTAGTAAAAAAAGAAATAAAATAATTGCTGAGGGGAAGGATAAAAGTAACAAATTTAAAGGAGAGAGAGATCACAGTTTTTGTGTTGAGAAGGTTCTTCTCCAAAATAAGATTCATTCTTATCTTATTCTACTCACACAGAAACTCTAACTCAAATTCATCTTTTATATATATGTATATATATATATATATATATATATATTGTTCTAATAAATTTAAATTGATTACAAGGTCTTGAACATCATGATATTAATTTTAGCTCTCACCTTTCCCTTTTCTTACGCGTGTTATAAACAAAATTACTACTTAAAAATTAAAATTTCATGTATTTTCTGTGTTATATATTTAAGAAACAAACTCAACTAAATAGAGAAAAATAAAGTAAGTCAATTAAAGAGAACGGAGAGAAAAATAGAGCAAGTCAATGACACTATTATTTACGTACAGGAGTTTCACCCAATAAGAAAATGGAATGAGAATAATAATACAATATTATATATGAGTAGTAGTGCAATATTATTAGCAGAGAAAAAAAATAGAGAAGACATGAGCATATAAAAAAAAATGAAAAACACATTTGGAAATTCTTGAAGCACTTAAAAAGTCACTTCAAACAATCCTTTAAAATCTGATAGGTTTGAATGAGATTGTTTTATGAATTTGGTATTTATAGATATCACTAAAAAGTCATTCAAAATCTCTATAATACAACAATCTTTTAAAATCCGTAATTTTTTTTAATACTAATCGATTGTTTTTAAGTTGTAAAGTCTCGAATGAATACCAATGAATTTTAATGGACTCTTTAAAAAATCTTTAAAATCTAGATTAAATACTACTAAATTATTTTAAAGTGATATAAAATCCTGATTGCCAACGAACTTTTTTACTAAAAAAAAAACAGTCTTTTAAAATCTTATAAAATCCTAAACCAATCTACCTATTATCATAAAGAATACTACATAAAATTTTTTTCTCAAGGGATGTAATTTTCAATTGAACTAGTAAATTAATATCTATTTATTAATTAATGAATACAATATTTTTGAACTTATCATTCAAACTTTTTTTTTTTTATACCAAACTTGTTATTCAAAGTTAAGAGCATAAAATATTATTTAAAATGACATAAAATTAGAATTAATTAATTGTTCGTTAAAAATTAATTTAGCATAATATTTTTTAATAAAACAAGATCACCGGGATCATACATATTTTGAAATTTGAAGTCTTAATATAAAAATTAGACAAATAGATGGAAATTGAAATAATTTATGCTAACGTTCAAGGATCTTGTGTAATGGATTAGGATGTACTCAAAATGTCAACACATGCAATTCCACTTGTATTATGTCAGACGATGAATTAAATTTCCTTCCTTTTACAAAATTATGTTGAATTTGACTTCTTTATTTTTGGTCAGATATGGAAAGTGTTGAATTTGGCTTGTTATTATTATTTTTTTTTGGTAGGATATGGAAAGCGTTGAATTTGGTTTTTAATAACGTGTTTCTATATCTTGTAGTGCTTGTATATGATACAATAAATATTTAGGATTTATCAAAAAAATAAATTTAGGAATGAAACAAAATATTTGATTCTGTCGTTCTGCAGGGAAAATTATATAATTTATAATGAAATAATAATTTTAAACTGTAAGTACGTAAAAAAATAGTTTTAGTTTGTAAGTTATAATTATACTAATTAATATACGGTAACTATACCAAACACATGCATCAACTAAGCAAAATTATTTCAATTTAGTCAATGAATTGAGTTTGAAACTTAAAT